GATTCCAACTCGATGGCACCTGACAACAACAACATGTGGAGAAATAATTTGATATTTTTGTTTCATAAAGGTGTCTATGATTTTGTAGCAATACTTTTGGTTTTATCATCCTATATCCAAGATTGGTTTTCTAGGTTTGAAAGCTTAGGATCTTAGTCTCATAGGACAACTCAGTCAATTAGCATACACAGTTCACAAAAAGCATGATCTTCATCCAAGTGTAGTGAGCAAAGCTACTTTGCAGGCAAATGCATTAACCCACAGCACCACACCAGGACTCCATCTGGTATCTTCAAAGCTGGCAAATGGCCATCTAACATACTGGTTCCTACTTACCAGGAGCAAAACAGTAAGATAATCATGAGCTTGCAGAAGAAACAAATCTACATGAGGCATGACCTTCTGTACCTGAGGTCTGAAGAACTACCACCACTGCCTAGCTACTACCACTGACTGTTCTGGCTGGATCTCTATAGATGATATCAAATACAATGGGAGATAAATGTGGGGCTGAACTCAAATTCTTAAAACAAACAGCAGACTGCAACGGTAGAGAACAGAGGACTCCCCAAAGAAACTATTACTCTAAGAAACTCAATTAAACCTGTTGTTGTTAGGTGTCATTGAGTCGGTACTGACTCACAGCGACCCTATGCACAACAGAACAGAACATTGCTGGGTCCTGGGCCAACCTCACAAATGTTGCCACGCTTGAGCCCAATGATGCTGCTACTTTGCCAATCTATTTCGCTGGGGAATCTTCCTCTTTTTCTCTGATCCTCCACCTTACCAAACATGATATCCTTTTCCAGTGACTAGTCCCTCCTGACAATATGTCCGAAGTATGAGACATGAAGTCTGGCCATCCTGGCCTCCAAGGAACACTCTGGCTGCATTTCTTCCAAAACAGATCTGTTGGTTCTTTTGGCAGCCCATGATACTTTCAGTATTCTCCTCCAATATCATAACTCAAATGCATCAATTCTTCTATGGTCTTCCTTATTCACTGTCCAACTTTTGCATCCATATGTTGTTGTTGTTGTTGT